CTGGTGGACTAACCGGAGAGAATTACAGTGCTTGCCTCGATGGGGAGGGATTGCATTGAATTACAGCAGCGGGAGCAAACGCTTGCCTCAGGGAGGGAGAAAAAGAGCCACAGTGGAGAATAAACAGAAGGGCAACCATGGCAACCATGTGCGGGAAGTCTTCTTCTTTTGTGGCAGACTACAGCACCACTTACAGGCCTGGCATATGTACTACAGCGTCTCCAGCGCTTTCGAGCGGCAATGGCCGGCCGTGGCCCAACCCCACATTCCCGATAGGTGGAGAGTTGGCCCAATAGCCGTAGCACCACCGTCCTGATGTCAGGACAGTGTTCAAATCTGGATCAGTTTTTATCAGATCCGTTGCACCTCCTTTTTTTGAGATTTGGGTATGGAGGAAAATAGAGAGGGTTGTGTTTTCTGACACTTGGTGAGTTCCCTGGAACACCGGGGACACATATTCATGTATAAAATACATACAAATGTGCATTTTGCATGATAGGTCCCCTTTAAATTATATGGCAAGCCATTTGAGTATTTAGTCCAGGGCCGGCCCTAGACTTTTGGGGGCCCTAAGCGAGCTTTGGCTTGGGGGCCCCCCACACTCTATCGCGTTGTCACTCCACACAACACGGAACCAACTTTTGTCTAATGATGTTGGCATAAGCACACATATTGTATAAATAAGCATGTAAACGCTGTGGACCTTACCTCTTCTAGGGGGGTCCTCACCTCCTCCAGGGGGGTCCGGGGGCATGCTCCCCCGGGAAGATTATTTTTTTTAAATATTGAAGTTAAAAGCATCAATCTGGTGCACTTTGAGAGCAAAATTAAGAGATCTATGGATACATCTCTCAACACCCATATGAAACAGAACTCTAAACAGATTTTTCTTTATGGATATTTTACAAATCACTCCCCTTTTAAACTGTATTCTTGTTTTGTCATAGTATTTCAACTCTTTTTCATTTATTCTCTCTGGCTGTCCATCTCATAATGTTCACATATAAACTAGCTGTCAATACAATGCAAAAATCTGTCACAAAAAGAGGTTGCCCATTTAAATTCAGGTGTTGTTATGGCAACGTCAGTGGCCAAACTGCCACATTTACTGCTGCAAATACGTTCAAACATGCTGTCGACATGTAAAGCAGTGGCATGCCACCATTTCAGCTGACTTTTTTCTCAGAAATACTGTCACATAACATCCATATATTTTAATGCTAGGTTGATGCTTTGCTAAGCTAACTATGAAACACTTTAACTGACAGGACTCAGGATCAACTGTGTACTGTAAGGTAGCTTCTAGCTTCATGTCGAACAGTAAGTCAACATTTCCCAGAGAGCTTTCTTTAAAATCACCAGGTAACGCTAAAAAACAAACATTTAGATTGTATTACAAAGTGTTCATTTAATATATCTGGCTAGCTATAGCTACTTGCTAACGGTTTAGCTTACCCCCACGATTCAAAGTAACGTCAACGTAGCTGTAATTTATGCTTTGCTTACATGTTCGCATAACTTGGAAGTTTACTGACATTTACATACCTTGTTCACCTGGCTCAAGTGGTGGCTCTGGGGTTGTTGTGTGAGCCACCACTTGAGAATTGTCGTCTTTTTTAAGACATTTTTTTCTTATGTCCATCTTCAAAAACTCGTGAGTCCGACTGACAGTTTAAACATTGTCACAGCTCACAGGATAGTGTTGAGATCATAGTATAAAGTGAATACTTAAAAACGAAAGTTAATTATAAATCAAATATGATCAATCATATTCTTGTATAAACCCATAATGAGAATGCTTCTTGACGGTTTTTGAATATGTATGTATGCTTACAATTTTTTCTGTTGCTATTTGATAACTTTGCGTTTTGAAAAGAGGGTGTTGTGAGTTTTCATAGTATGTTTAATACTTAAAACGAAAGTTAGTTATAATCAAATATAATCAATTATATTTTTGTATAACCCACAATGAAAAATACTTTTTTTTCAATAGTTACAGTATAAACAAAACAAAGTGGTTTGTTTAGGTTGAGTGTGTAAGGTCTATGATTTATGGGTGTCTCTGAAGAGAGTAGGCCGTTTTCTCCCTCTCCTCTGGCAGCAGTTCACAGGGAGGGGGGGCTCCAAGCTTAAGGAGAAACACATTATGGCGCGTTTCCACTGCAGCGGGTAGCTCGCTTTAAGCGTGCCGAGCCGTGCGGGGCCCGTTTTTGGTTGCGTTTCCACTTGGTCTAGTTTTGGCCCGGGGCTACTTTTTCACCTTTTTTCTGGCCCGACTAAATCGTGGTTCTAGGGCCAGGAACAACCAGGCTGAGTCGGGCTGAGTATGCTAAACTAGAGAGAGAATCGCTGGCAAGGGGGCTACAACTACAACAAGATGAACATATTTGACCGTGAATTAATTGTAATACACGTTTCAAAAATGATGCCGAAGTAACAACATACTGATACCGGTTAGTAAAAACCATGAATTAATGCTTTGACAAGTCTGCAGACAGACGGCAGGCGAAAAACCCTTTTAAAATGCGTGTTTTCTAAATGTAGCTTGGCTAAGCTAACGTTATATATGCTCCGACCGTCCACACTCACAACAACGGCCTACAGACATAAATAAACCAGCGACTGTATTCACCATGACACAGGCAGTCTGTGGTTTGTACTTGTTTAACTTTTGTCAAGTTTCTGAACAGATATGAGGAGCTGTGAGCTCCGAGTGCTAAGAGCTAACGGCTGTGTTGTTTTTCTGGGGCTCTCATTGAAGATGACGTCACGGCTCCGCCTACACTGCGTTACTATAGTAACTGCCCCAGTTCCTAAACTGTAATGGAAGCGCAGCATTAAAGTGAGCCGGGCCTAATAAGGCCTAACCAAACCGAGCGAGGCCTGCAGTGGAAACGCGCCATTAGAGGCCTAAAGGGGTCATGTCCTTTTTACACTAACATGGGAAGGTGTGTCTTATGCCATAAAGCTATGGAACATGTCGGGTCATGTTTAGCCCTGTACAGTAGAAGCCATGCCCAGTTTTTCACAAATTTGGGTGTAGAGGAGGAGTTTGTTTTTTTGGGGTTTCGATCCGGTTTTTTGAGCATAAAGAGACTGGTTTTTTGAGAGAGCGCGAGAGAGAGGGGGGGAAACCCCTGGTAGACTCTCTCCCGGTAGGCTTTGTACTTCAGAGCTGGGTTAATAGCTCTCGGAAAGGTCCTCTCACACTTGGTAAATATCTCTCGAATTTCTTGGTTGTTGGCTGAGTGGAATGATTTGATGAGAGATGTGTTTGTGAATATTATAACCCGCCACCTGTGAGGAAATCTTCCTCCGAAATAATGCGGATAGGAATGGGTTTTTGAATGTTAAATCCGCCGTCTGTGTCGGAAAAAGTGTATGAATATTATAACCCGCGACCTGTGAGGATCTTCCTCCGAATTACCGTGGATAGGAACGGGTTTTTGAATGTTATACCCGCCGTTTGTGTCGGAAAAAAGGTATGAAACTGATGTGAAATTGATTTGGTGAATGAAAAGTTGAATGCGCTTTTTATTGTCACCGGTCTTTTTACGAGGAAATACCTCTAAATTCTATCGGGAGAATTTTAAAATGTCACAACTGAATTGGGCAGTTGAAATTAAAACATTTTGGTAATAAATGTAAGACTGTGAATTAAAGTTTCATATTTGAACATGATCACAGCACCATTTTTTTTATTTTTTAGTATGATTATAATGTTGTAAAGAGAGAAGGTAAAAACCCTGTATTAGTTTGGACCTATTTTTCTTCAAATAAACTGATCCCACCTGTTGGACTGGGATAATTTAAAAGACAACCTGTGCAATCCTCTCCTGCTTCAAAGGTAAGATTGCACCCTGCCACACACACTTAGGTAGGAGCACACTCCATTTACTGATATCAAAATCCTTCGGGATAACCTTAAACAGATTAAAAAAGAGTTGTCTGAATTGAAACAGCAGTTAATTGAGCCTAGGTTCTTCGGGAAGTTAATAGAGGTGAGATCTTGCTGACGTTGGTGGATCTGAGCCAAGCAGCAACCTTACATAGACTCAATAACTTCGGTCAGGTCAATTAGTAGGTCAGAGTAATTTACCGGAATAAATTATCAGGACCTCTCCGACTCTAAACAATAGGTACCTGTCAGCAATAAGACATATGTTTATTTCCATGCAACTCTCTGGTTGGTCTGGTGTCTTGCCTCTGTTGCATTCACTGAACACGGGAAATTACAATCCTGCCGTCCACTTTAGTGTCATGATGAGGTTCAGGTAAAGCCTGGTTAATGTATTATATTATTGACTCAATAATATAATACATGACTTTGAGTGTAGGCAATTTAGGCATATTAACAAAGTTAATTAAACATACTTATCACGGCGACGGTGTTCTGAGATTATTTTTAAAAAATTTGCTAGGGGGCCCTTAGTGGCTGCGGGGCCCTAAACTGTCGCTTAATGGGTCGGGCCGGCTCTGAGTATTTGTATCCAACACACGAGATTTGTTCAGACAGATCTGTTGCTTCTTGGTAAGTTAATGGGTTCCGCCACGTACTGTATTTGTGAAGAACCGACTGTTTAATTGTGCGGGTTCCTTTTTAGGTAAACTGTTTGTCTACGGTAGCCGACAGGTGCCAACGTGCTGCAGCGGACCAACACATTCCATTAGGAGAAACGCGCTGCAAGCTCAAAATCGAAATGTATAAACACAAATGTGCCAAAACACATGCAAGTGAAGAAATATCTTTACCAACTTGACGAAACATGCACAGGTCACACACCGCTGGGACCGGAGAGCTTGTTGACGTTCGGGGATTATACATTTGGCATACTGTCACTGTCACTGTCTGTCAGTATATTCGAAATAAGTTAATAAGATTGACTTTATTGATCCCAATTCAGGACAGCAACATGTGAACAAGACATAATGTGAAAATAAAAAAAGGGGAGAAGCTAAACAAACATAAAATAAAACTAAACTATACAAAAATGCATATTGACAGTGATATATAAATAAGAAGAAATTACCAAACCATTCATTTATATTGATGTATGGAGAATCGTGTACATTTGTTTTGCATATATATAAAAAAAAAGAAAAAAGATTTATATTCATGGTGTTGCAGTCGGTAATTTGAAGCTTTTAACTCTGCAAAGTTTCAGAATTTGTGTTCGTCACAGTCCGGAGGGTCATTTCTGACGGCAGCAGTGGGCTCTTTGTCGCTTCTCCAAATGGTAAAAAGTCCCCGAAGTGAGAAAACGACAGCGATGAGTGAGAAGTAGCTGGCGTATATGGTGAACTGCAACAAAAAACAGACCATCACTTCATCTGCAGAAGACCTGAGTTACATTTTCTGATCTGCCTCCTCACCTGAGGAATGATGCCCAGGCCCAGCCCTCTGCTGTCCACCACCACAGAGGTGATGATGGTCTGCAGAGCCAACGCTCCAAAGTTATTCGCTCCAAACACCAGAGCATACCTCTCCATCGTCAGGTCGGCTGCAATCTGGTACCTAAAAGAGAAGGATTGTTTACTTAAATGCACGATTTCCTGTTCTGCCTGCAATAATAAACACGTCTCCCTTTTGATAAGACACCTCTTACATGGCTATTGTTATCAGCAGCATGTACAAGCACTTGAATACGATGTATCCGGCGTAGCAGACCCAGATGTTTCTGATGAAGGTCATGAGGAAGAGTGCTGCTGCTCCGAGGCCAGAGAAACCCCCGAGAGCCAGCTCCCCCCACTGATCCCACCTCACCTCCGTGAAGCCGATACCGTACGCTGTGGCTGCTCCTGCAAAACACACCCATCTGGTTTTATAGTAGAGATGACAATTTGAAAGGCACTGAGAAAATGGGTTTGATATATATATATATATATATAGCACCAAAGCCCTTTTTGTAATCAATGACATACTTTGAATATGGTATAATAGAATCATTTAAATATTTGTAGCTTTTTTATCTTAGTATTAGAATTACTGGTAATTTACTTCAGTATTATTTGTATGTGAGGGGAAAAAATACTTTTAGCCGAACCACATTGTTTTTACAGCTTAGAAATGCAGACGTTTACAAACAAAAATATGAACTGCATGAAATATTTGTTTTAATGTAGATTAAACTCCAATATTATATTTAATTACCCAAGACAATGAGTGAGTTGACATCAAATTGTCATAAGCAAAAAAAAGCTATTTTGATAATTGTTTTCTTCACTTGTTCATCAATAATTTCATAGTTCTAGCTTATCAAACATGAATGCTATCCTGGCTCCAAGATGGTGGAATGAGCTCCCCATTGACATCAGGACGGCAGATAGCTTGCACATCTTCCGGCGCAAACTGAAAACTCATCTCTTTCGACTCCACTTCGAGCGTTAGAACGATTAACGAAGCACTTTTATACTAATAAAGGACTGGCCTATCTAAAGCCAGTTGAGTAGCACTTGAAATGTTTGGCTCTATGAAACCTGATATACTTATATGATTCTGTTTTCTTCAAGGTTGTGTCTTCCTGGTCGAATGTACTTATTGTAAGTCGCTTTGGACAAAAGCGTCAGCTAAATGCAATGTAATGTAATGAATATTTCTGCTTTCCTGCAATGGGTAC